AAACATGTAACATACTATTAGTATTATTCGATCCACAAATTCACCATTATTAGTTAAAATTTTTATATGTAAATCTATATAAATTAGAGTGAAGCCTGAAGAAGATCTAATTGAAAAGACAGCAATATTGTTCGCTAATGCGTCTTGTTCTGACACTGGTAGATTAACAGCCAAATAGATCCTCACCATTGGTTATCCTGCGTAGTTGTAAGGCGAGTTACATTGTGTATGCTCTTACTACACAGCACTAATTAAGTGACAATAAACTGGCCTGCTTAACTTCCTAGTGAGCCTCTGTGGTTTCTATTGAATAGGAAATAAAGAAATGGTTTTTCCTTAAAAGACAACAGTGAGATTACTGCGCTTTTGCATAATGGACGGGAAATGACGACGTTTTTTTATAAGTTCTAGCATTTGCAGATCAGTAGCCAAAGTATGAGTCAACATCATGGGGAGTATACAGTTTTTAGGTCTCGTCTTCGATCCATTCTTGTTATGATTGTCAGTGTTCAGGCAGACTGGTATTATTATTAATGTTTCCTTTAATTCCTAGAGGAACACAGGGCTTTAGCCGCACGTCTCCATTGCGTTCAGTTCTCTACTAGAGTCTTCACCTGGCTCCAAGTCTGCCCATACGCTTTCATCTCCTCTTCACATGACCTCTTCCAAGTCACTCTTGGACAACCAACTCGCCGCTTCCCTTTCGAGTTCCACTGGAGCAATGGCTTGTCTAGTGATGTTACTTGATGGTTTCCTCAGAGTATGGCCAATCCAATCCACCTCCATTTCTTCCTGCCTATTTGTTGCACAATCGGTTTCTGGTTGATTTGCTCATTGCCAGAGATCTCTGTTGCTGATCTTTTCTGGTCACCTGATCTTGAGTATTGAGCGAAGACAACTGTTAATGAAGGTCTGTAGTTTGTTTGAGATGCTCTTTATGACGCGCAGTGCAAGTCTCTGATCCATCCGTATAGTAGCACTGACTGACTTCACATTGGAGTTGAAAATTTGGATCTTATTTTTGATGCTGATTGCTGTTGACTTCCCCACAGACTAGAGAGTAATGAAAGCTTGTCTTGCTTTTCCGATTCTTGCTTTGATATCCTCATCAGTTCCGCCTGTAGTTGAAACAATGTTTCCAGTTCGGTAGGTAAAATAGGTTGTTTCTTTCAGGTTCCTTCCATTTATGCTGATTGTTGTCTGTTGTTGTTGTTGCTATTGGTAGTGTTGCCCAGGAATCTTCATCACCTCTGTTTTATCTATGTTCACCTGAAGTCCTATCTTCGATGCTTTTGCTATCGCCAACTTGTTGTTTTTCACTTGCATATCTTCCAGTTTGTGGGAAATCAGACATATATCATCGGCAAAGTCCAGATCCTCCAAGTCTGTTTTTGTGTGAGTCCATTTTATGCCTGTTTCCTCATTGCCCGTCGCTGTTTGTCGCATTATTCAGTCTACTGCAATCAGGAAAATCATTGGCGATAGTAGGCAGCCTTATCTTACTCCTGTCTTCACTTCGAAGGATTCCGTAAGTTTCCCGTTGTGGATTATTTGGCATGCAGCATTGTCGTACAGCTGTTGGATGAGATGTATAAGTGTCGGTGTGACAGACTAACCTGTGTGCAGGAGATTTCTTCGACCTCTAGGCCTGAGACTCGTGTAATGAAATGACTAGACCGCTATACCACCAATAAATTAAAAATATTATTTAAGAAGTGGTTATAGTGCAACTTGTGCATAACCGCAATCATTCATGCACTGGTTGAACTAGCCATGGAAGATAATCAGAAGGAATTACGGTGTGTTGAACTATTTTATCAACATTAGTGCCTGAACCTTTTTTTTACAATGTACCGATCATAATTCATGATTGTCCCAGTATAAAATTGTGTCGGTGGTTCAGCGATGGAATGCTCTTTATTCAATGTAATTGGTCCGGGGTTCAAGTCCCTACTGACGCACTCCTGAACCTTGCTAAGACAGTAGTAAGGTCGGTAACATGAGGAGGTTGAACGTAACGCTAACAACCTCACCCCTTGAAAAAATATGTGTATAAGGCAAATTGTGATGCTGTTCCGCTAAACTGATATGATTATGGGCAATAATTTATGCTGGAAAAGTTATGCAATTACTGATACTGAAATAAACTTATCTGATATAGGATTGCCTTATGCAGTGATAATAACATTTGTCAGTTGACTAACTTACTAGGAAACGATTCACTATTGTCTTGATGTAAGAAGCCAATCATGAATTTAATAGTTCAGCTATTTTGTCCAAGCTTAAGTTTATTACATCAAATTGAACCTGAAGCGGTCACTTGGATTTAATCTTCATCATTGAAGGAAATTTTTTTTCACAAAATCAATTAGATGTTTGAAACAAGCGTGAGATTTTTTCAAAATGGGTTCTGTATGATGTCTGTAATAGAAAATTAAATTATCTGCATGAAATTTCAGAATAATATTTGTTAAAATACTATCATGTTTCCAAAAAAATAAATTGATTGTCTATCCCATTTTGAATGTTTTTAATAACTGTCGGTTACGCCTAAATGCAGCGTACCGCATAGAGCCTGTACACCTTAGAAGGATACCATCAGTTAAAGGACCACTGAAAACCAGGGAGTGCCCTACAGCTGTTTGGTTATACTTTTGGACACTTCAACAGTACTCACCTATGAGCCCAATGGGAGTCGGGCCCAGGACCTACTGACTACGAGGAGATCCTAGTGACCGCTACTCAGCTTCCGAGATGTTGGTGACACTGTATGCTACAGATTGGCAGAAACTAGAATTCATGACTCACTACGTATCCTGAAGATATTAATTTCGACTCCCTTAGGGGTTCTAGGTGTGTACCGCTGGAGTCTCAACCTCGGACGAAACAGCTATCCATCGCTTTCTGGTTTCCAATGGTTCTCTAATTGTTGTCAGCACGTGTCTTAACTTGAAACTAATTAATTTCGTACAGATCAACACTTGAAAAATAAAAGAATAACACCATTAATAGAATAAATAATGGGGTTGTTTACTGAAATAATGGTGAAATGTGTTTGTTTAGCCACATTCAAATACGTAAGGTCAACAGATTTAAGGGTCAAACTGTCTACTATCTGTTTGAACTTATTTGTTGGCGAAGAAAACCTAAAAAATGTATGTTTACTTAATAAAGTCAACATTGTTTCTATTTATGATAAGTGAGACAGTCGAACAAAAAAGTTCGTCAGATTGTAGTGTGATACCTTAGATTGTGAAACTGCGAATATATGTAGAGACTATTGTATTGGGTTACATGCTGCGATGTCTAGAATAGAATTAGCCGGAAAAGGAAAGCCATAAGTAGATGGACTTTTTGACTAAATTTTAGCCTTTAGTAAGTTGAATGCAGTGGAATGTATTCACTTCAATTATCTTCTTTACACTGCTTGCTTTTAAGCTAATGCCTGTTTGTTTGTCGTCTTCCGTTCTCCTTCTACCCCTTCCGCCTCACCACCATGATCGTCCTGCTCGACATTCATCTCTACTTATTTCTTCTGCTGAAGATCACGTTCATTTAGGCAACAGTAAGTGGCCTATTTATACATCTTCTGAACGGAGTTTGTTCAGATTTTTTGTCAAAGCGATGACAAGTATTAATGTATTGAAGTACATTGAGTAATATTAAAGATTTGTGCGTCAGTGGCACAGCGGTTAGGACCCTCGCTGACCGTGCACATAGGCCGGGGTTCGATCCCCGGCCGACGCACTCCTTTACCTCGCTAAGCCAGTAACAGAACTGGCAAAGAGGAAAGGTTGAGCGTGAGGCTAGCAACCCCATCCTGTAAGAATAAACACTGCTACAGAAAGTTCAGTCCTCTAGCTTGAATCCCTATGTTTCATTGGGAACGTGAAGGAATAGAAAAAATATTAAAGTTTACATTGACCCTGTACATTAAGTTAAAGAGAAGGTGATCTGGTTAAATTATAGATTTGAGCATAGTTCTTTGGTTCTTTGCAAGTAATAGTCTCATGATCTGAGCCCAAACTCCATCTCAATTGTTCCTGAAGATCGTTTAACAGCAAGTAGGGCTCATAGCCTAGTGCACAAACAATCTGGTTTTCCTACTCTCCTATCGTAAATTTCTTGTTTGAGTCTTGTTTTAAAGAAGTGTAACAACAATTAATCAACAACAATCAAGATATTGAAGTCCAGCCAGGAAGGCAGCAGGACCAGACGAAATTCCCCAACTGCGAAGCACTGAAAACGGACCAAGAGACCGCAGCAGATTTTCTCATGCCATTATTGTAAAAGATTTGGAAAGAAGGAAAAGTACCTACCGACTGGAAGAAAGGCTACCTCGTCAAGCTGTCAAAGAAGGGCGACTTACACCTCTGCAAGAACTGGTGTGGAATAATGCTCTTGTCCACGCCGAGTAAAATACTAAGTCGCATCATCCTGGAGAGAATAAAAGATGCACAGGATACAGAACTCTGCCCGGAACAAACTCGATTCAGGAAAGCCAAATCATATGCTCATCAAATTGCAACTCTATGCATCGTCATCATAGGACAAAGCATAGAATGGCAGTCAAACCGGTAGCCTAACTTCATCGACTTCGAGAAGGCCTTTGAAAGACAGCGTTGACCGAGAAGTAATTTGGAAACTGCTTCAACACTACGGCGTGCAGTGCCCCAAGTCTTTATCAACATCATTCAACAGCTCTATGACAGTGGCACGTGTCAGGTGATCCACAATGGGAAACTCAGCGAAGCTTTTGAATTGAGTACAGTAGTAAGACACGGCTGTCTATTATCGCCGATGATATTCTTAATTGTGGTCGACTGGATTATGTGTCAGACTGTTGGGAGCGAGAAGATAGGATTACACTGAACCGATAAGAAGACTCTAGAAGATCCTGATTTTATTATTGTTATTACATCAATTAGTTTGTTTAAATTTCTTTTTTCTTCTCTTCCACGCTCAATCGATATCTTGTTTCTTCCCTTATTCCTCATCAGGTCGTTATTTACAAATGATGAGACTGTTACAACCGATTGCCGGAGAAGTGATGCACTGTTTATGCCAAGTATTCGATTATTATTTGTATTCAGTAAGTATACAGTAATTTATTTAGTTATTAATACTATTTTCACCTTAGCGTGTGTGTTGGTGGTTCAGAAATAGGAATTCCCGCTCCCATGCATGTGCTGGGATGACCCATCATTTCTGCGTATTTGTGATATATAGCGCAACTACCAGCCAGTGTCTTCAACTAGTAGGATCAACGAACTCGCCTTGTAATGTAATCTGGTTGTCGACGAGTACTGGCGAAGAGTCCCAAACAGAGACGAAACAGCTATCTGGTACTCTCTTGTTTTTCAGTGGTTCTCTAATAGAAGTCAACTTGAGAACACACCTGAAATTAATCCAATTCCTGCAGACCAGCACTTGGAAATCATTTAAGCGCTGACTAGGCAATAAAATCGATATGAATAGAACAAAATCTAAAGGCATAAGAATGTATATGTAGGCAGGTGTGTATCATTTTGTTTGCATGCATCTGTTATTTTCTAGGGTAGATCATAATTTATGTTACTATTTTTGTTATAATGAAACAGTTTGAGAAGTCATGTGAATATAATGAATAAATGTATTACGTTATTATGACCAAAGGTGATGCCTTATAATGACAAGATTAATGAACTTGATCAAAAAAATACTGAGTTATTATTAATCAGTGATGAAGGAAGGTGGATAAGTAGAAAAAAGAAACACAAAATTGTGAATTTTTCGATCTTATTGTGAAAGTGTTAGAATAGACAAAGTGAATACAGATAATATGACGAAATATTGAAGAAGATTTACAGCTTAAGTGGATGTTTTTTGGTATTGTTGTTGTTGTTGTGTACTCTGTCGGTCGGTTGGTTTTCGACATAGAACTTTGCACATATGTGCGGCAGTTCAAGTCGCCACACTCCATGTAGCACACAAAGCAAGAGAAGAAAGTAGAAGAAATGCATAATATAGACAGTAAACAGAGGTGTGATAGCTGCTACTTTGACGTGGTGGTCGGGCTTGCATATCGCAATGACCCAACGAGCTATACTGGCTGGAACGTATGTTCCTGTAGGTCCTACCATGCCAGAAAGGTTGTTTGGATAGCGGTTAGACAAAAAGCAGCTACCCAATCCTACACTATGATTCAAATAAATCCACAAAATATCATGCCGCATCGGTTGGGGCCCGGATTAACAACGACCGCGCTTTCTGCTGCCGTGTCACAGGGCAGAAGTGATAAATACGCTACTGAGACACACCAAACAAGAAAAAAACAAACAAAAACAGGCCACATGTAACCGACCTCAAGCAGTTGTCCCCTGGGCTCTGCGGTCACGCAACACTAACCTCTTCTCTATTTCAGGTACCCGAAGACCCAACCAACTTCCACGGTGTGGGCAGCCGGGAAGTAACAACCGCCCACACACTTCCAAAAGCACACGAAGCCTACCTGAGCAACACTCTCCCCTACTTACATCACCTTCCCCATCTTGCTGCTCTACTACAGCTAGCACTATTCTTCAGGCTAGTGAGCCATCTTCACTTCACTCTGTGTACTCTATACTTATGGATGGTTTAGTTGAACAGCTTTTATTGACCTCCTAGTCAGTAGTTCAGTGATAGAATGCTGACTAATCACACACGTGTTCTGGGCTAGATTTGAAGCCGATGCACTCTTTAACCGCGCCTAGTCCCTACTTAAGCGATAGCAATCCCAGGAAACCAAGTCAAACTAGGATGAAACAACTGTCTAGTACTCCCTGCTGGTTTTCCAGTGGTTCTCTAACTAATGTCAAGTGGTAATCAAAACCTATAACAAAATATGCGTCAGTTGTTTTACTAATTTCTAAGATATCATGCTTCTATAATGAGAATTTAATTATAACAAGGTCAGATGAAGTGAAGTCTTGTCTCACTGTCTCATTCATTCCTTTGCTTTCTGAGTAGAACATAGGGCTTCAAGATTCGAGCTGTGAATTTTCAGTAACGGTGGTGTTATTCTAACAGAATGGAGTCACTAGCCTTACAGCCAAACTTGTCTCTTTCCGGGGATTACTAACAGCCAGTGAAGGCTGGGGATACGTCGGCTGGAGTCGAACTTGGAGCCACTTGTGTGGTTGGAGAGCATCCTGCTATAGAATTACCAGCGCATTTAGTCTTCCCTATTAATATATATATATATATATATACACTATAATGTATCAACTTTAATGATGACAGTTTTTCCCTGAATCTATCTCTTCCTTTTCTTTCCAGATCCTGAATCTTTTTGGTTCCCCTCAGGTTAGTTTCAAATTCTTCATTACCTCTTTTTTTTATAAATATAGATTAAATAATTTTCATTATAGAAAATATCCCTATTTACATTTTGACACTGTTTAATTATTGTTAACAAACATATCACCACTTGTTTGGTAAATTGTTGTGTATTGTAAAAAATGCTATATATATTAGAGTAGAGCCAGAGATGAGGATCTAATTGAAAAGTAAATATTTCTTCGCTCGCTCAATCTTTCAATTTCCATTATATTCTTTCTACATGTATTAAGTCAATAAAAAGAAATATTCTCTCCTTTACCGAATTCTAACCATTACTTAGACACTAACTGTCTAAGTCCAAAGGTATCATTATGTCTCCGCATGGAGTAATGTCTACAAAGTGATTTGTAAACCTTGGGCACTGACTGTGGTAATATGTAATTCTATGTTTATTTTGTCCATTAGAAACATCATATATTCATACATAGAAAGAGAATATCTCTGACAGATCGGCTAGAATACTAAGACTATTTGAAATAAACATAGCACACAAGCCAACACAATCACTGCATTCGATATTGAGCAGACCAAAAGATCCATCATCAAAAGAAGATATGATCAATACCATTTAAAAAATAAACTGCATCCATGAACAGCGATAAACACTACATCGGTCAAAATGGGCGTCCCCTTCGACCAGGTATCCAAGAATACGATAAATTAGCTATGAAAAGACACGATATATATATATATATATTCTTTCATATCAATATATATAGAGAATCACGGACACCAATTTGATTGGGAGAATATAGAAATTTTAAACAGAGGAAACGGCGAAAAACGCTAGGGAATCACTAAAAGCCTGGTTGGTATTCAGGTGATGAATCAGCGATTAAAAATCACATTAATGTAGGTGAAATATACCAACTAATAAAAAATAAATCACGTGACAAGAAAGTTCAAATTCCAAGTCACTAAAAATGATTAGTAAAGATGTAAAAATTAACAACCAATCGCGACAAGGTGATGGTAGGAGACACAATTATTTAGAAAATCAAAAGAAGTGATTCAACGAAGAGTCTCTTTTCAACGAATTTATCATCAAGCTGTACAACCGTATATGTATGATTTTTTAGGAGAAATTATATCCGGTGAGGGAATCGGATCATAGGTGTGAATACACCAAATAATAATAGTAGTAGGAAATGCAATTACAACTAAAATGTTTGTGATTCTAATCGTAGTTAAATGTCAAGTGACAAAGCAAATTAATGTCATATATAGAATAATTCATAGGATGTATAGAACTTGGAAAGGGTGTACAATTATAGGATTAGTAGACAAATCGAATAAAATAAAAACGTTACGTAATATTGTGTGAAATTTGATAACATAGAATTTAATGTTGCAAAACAGAATTGATTTAGAATGATAAGTGGAACAAGTGAAATAATACCGGGGACAGTTAAAAGTAAGAGCAGTAATAGTAACAATTGACTTAATAAAGGAAGAGTATACAAACTGAATAAACAAAACGAAAAAAAATCGGTAGAACCAAAATATGATTAGGGATTACCATACTTTAGCATAGAGGGATTAAGACCATGAAAATTGGGGTAGAGTGGGGTGAACGAACTTTTTTGTATACAGAGATCTTGCTTTTCTGTTTTGATAGCCAAAGCTTCAGCAGTACACATGAGTCAGGTACCCAGTGATTTGGGCAAATTACTTTTCACCTTGTAGATGACTTTAATAGTGGAGATAGGTTGATTATTATCGACCAGATATTCAATGATCGCGCTTCTTATTATTCTACTTTCACCTCTTCGTAACTAACACGCAGGGAAGTGTTCTTGCACCCTCTTGGACAAAACTCGAGTCGAACGACCGATATACCTAGCTCCACACGAGCAGGTGAATTGATAAAAGCACATTGTTTTGCCACTTGACATCTAACTATGATTATAATCACAAACATTTAAATTTTAATTGCATTTCATACTACTATTATTATTATCTTACGCATTCACATCTATGATTCAATTCCCTCACCGGATTTAATTTCTTAAAAAAACCGTATACATATACGATTGTACAGCTTGATAATAAATTCGTTGAAAAGAGTCTTCTCGCTGAATCACTAGTTTTAATTTTCTGTATGTTACAATGGAAATTTTCCATGAATACAATTATTTCGTCATTCATGGAGAATTTAAATAATTTCATTTTAAACTAAAACCCGTATTGAAGCGATGTTTTCCAGAAGGGAAATAAAAGCTTCGAAATTAAATCAACTTAGAGAACATCAGCTTAGAGAACACAACCAAATCAAATGTTTGAAAGTGCTGGAGGTCAATGTTTTGAACCCAGTTTTATTGTTCAAAATCATGTCAGTGGCTAGCTACACACTTGGGTGTTGAATCATTCCTGTTTCATGTATTCTCTCAATTGATTTGATAATTAAGGCCTCATTTTAAACAAAGTATGAACAGAAAGAATGAGCGAAGAAATATTTTCTTTTCAATTAGATCCTCATCCCTATCTGGCTCTACTATAATATACACGTATAGCATTTTTATCACAATACACAACAGTTTACCAATCAAGTGGCACTGATATGTTTGTTAACAATAATTAGTCAGTGTCAAAATGTCAATGGGTTGATAATAAACGAAGAAAATCAGTACACATTTAAAAGGTAGAAATGATTAGAATAAATTAATTTTAAAAGGATAACACGTAATTAAAGATGAAGTGGTCAGAAAAATGAAATAATTTGGATAATTATAATTCTTATAATTTTAAAGGTTTAGGGGGGGGGGTGAAGTAGTCCGGTTTATACAGTCATGTAACGATGGCCAAAGCAAGGAAAGTGGCTGTACAAATTTCTTCTGAACACACCAGTTCGGCTTCTTCAGGTGGATTCCTATTGCTTCAGCTGTCTGTAGAAGATGAGCTCGTAGAGCAAAATTAAGATTAGTAGGAATGCGATAGATAATTTTAAATGCTGTATTAACATTAACCTTATACTCACTGTCTACAAGGTGTGCTAAAATAGAGCTACGAATAGATCTTGTTTGTCCCTTGCTTAACTATGTTGGATGAACAGACAAATTTGGAGGGAGAAAAAAAGGAACTCATGTTTTCTATTATTTCACAGCCTTTTCACTAACCAATGACAGTCTCAAATTTTTAAAAAATGTCATAAGTAATCAACAATGCAGAAATATCTAATTTGCTTCAAAAATTATTTTACCTCAAAGGGCATAGTTATAGTTATAAGGATAAAACTTGGGCACTGTACTAGAGTATAATTCTATTATGGATAAAATTTTAATTTGATAAAATCACACAGTGCTGTTATACAGCAATATTTACTCCAAAGATAGAGTAGAGAAACGTGGATGACACTTGCACAGGGTTAAAAACAGAACATACCTCCAGTTTTTTCACACATAGTAAGCTTCATTAGTAAAGGGAATAAAATTCGCATTTGAATCGGAAAGTGAACAAGGAGAATTAGCTATGGTGTTAGATTGTAAAATAAAACGAACAGAAGAAGGTAAACTGCACACTGGCGTTTATTAAAAGCCAACGCATTCTGATAATAGATATTTAGACTTTATTTCATCTCATCCGTTGTCTGTCTGTAAAGGCAGGCATAGTTAAATATCTAACAAACCGAGCAGTATTACTAAGCAGTACAACAAAACCTAAATGATGAAATGAAACAGATAGAAGAATAGATAAAATCTTATGAAATTCATTAAGAAGATCAGAAAGGGTCAAAAGCAAAATAAAAATAATGGTGAAACTAATAATGATAACATAAATAAGAGAGAATATAAGGCATCTACAGTTTTACCATATAAGTAGGAGATATCTGAGACCCTATGTAGGGTTCTCAATAAAACAGGAATTAGGGTGGCGTTCAAACCTACAAGCCTTGTAGGCTAAAAGACCCAGGCGACCCAATTAAACAAAATAATATTATTTACAGAATACCTTGCAATAAGTGCGAGGTCAACTACATAGGTCAAACTAGTAGGTCAGGGGTAGTCAGATTGCCTGTCGGAACATAAGAATTTAGCTAAGGCAAGAATAGTTGACCCCGAGAAGATAAGCATTTTTGAAAAAAGCTCAGCAATTGCACTGCATGCATTAACACACAACCACACAATAAGGTGCGAGAGAGTTAAGATTCTAAGAAGTAATCTATGTAGGTGGAGAGAGAAAGAAAGGTTGATTACTGAATCCTCGTTCATCAAGTCTACATCCAACACATGCAACAGAAGTGACTCAATGCAAATACCAGAGATATGGAACATATTATTACCAGTCAAATCAGACGACAATAAATAATGTTAAAATGTGTTCAATTCACATTCTACCGGTTATTTGTTTTACTATAAAAACATCTTATTTCGCATCTGATTGTATTTGATTGATAACACTAATATTATTTCCTAATGAACTTTATCTTATATCGATTTTATTCAGATGTCTAATCAATTTTTATTCATGTATGTAAACGAAGCAAGAAAGTTGTGTGAGAGTACCTTGATATGATTATGAGCTGCAGTAATCAATTATGCTCGAAACGTGGTTATCAGTAAATGTTACTGTATAACACCACTGTGTGACTTTATCAAAATAAAATTGTGTCCATAATGGCATAGTTATAGAACAAGAGATATGAATAAAAGAATTTATTTGTGCATAAGGTTTAAAACAATTAGTCCCTTTTTATAAATTTGGACACTGTTGTTATCAGAAGACGGAGATTATCTGTAAAATGGTGTTGTGTTGTGATGTGTTTGTACAATAACACTGTGAACAACAATCTAATCCCTCACACATTCACTTGCTCAAGTCAATTTATATAAAAAGTGTGAAAGGCGAATTAAAATATACAAAGCAGTGACTTAAAGGATTTAAGAATAATTAAGTTTACGTTAAGTTAAACGTGCATCGGTGGTATAGCGGTTAGGACGCTCGCCCACCATGCACATGATCCGGGGTTCGACCCCCGGCCGACGTACTCCTTTACCTCGCTAAGCCAGAAATAATCCTGGTGAAGAGGAAAGGTTGGGCATGAGGCTAGCAACCCCATCCTGTAAAATAAACACTGCTACAGAAACTTCAGGCTACTAGCTTGAAGCCCTATGTTCCACTGGGAACGTGAAGGAAAAAAAGTTTTCGAATAGCTATCACTAATGAAAAGTTCTAGAGGAGAGGATGATAAACAAGTGTGATTTGTGATCGGAAAAAAAGTTGTGACGCTACAGAAACACAGAAACAAGATAGAGACATCTGCTCACTAACTTTCTGTGTACATGTATTTAGTTGAAATCTTTTGATAGTAATAGTATCTGCGATGAGAAATAGCCAGGGTTTCTCTCTGAGCTAAATTCATTGTTAATTTTCCCATTTACTCAATTGTTTGCCAACCTTGATGATTTCATTTTTACTTATGTTTTTACAACTTGAAATCAATTAGAGAACCATTGAAAACTATGCAGGGAGTGCTAGACAGCTGTTTCATCCTAGTTTGGGAATGATCGGCACTATGCACCCACCACCAGGGTTCGAACCCAGGACCTTCCGGTTACAAGGCGAGCTAGCTCGTAGACCATTCATACACTGCGACCCGATTCAATGGACAGACCATAAATTCTGACTTCTACCAATTCGTGATTTAGCGCGACTGGCATCAACCAGTTTCATCGTTGGGATATCCATCCTCACACGTGACATCTGGATGGACCTCACTGGTCACGATTTCTTACTAGAACTCCAGGAAACTCCATTCTATAGCAAGTCTCTTGCGAACATCAGGTTAATTTTCTACAGTTGGTTTGTACGGATTAGTTTTGTTTTTACGAGTTGATCACGAGTGCGTACTGCCGATGAGTCCCAAACTAGGATGAAACAGCAGCTGTCCAGTACTCCCTGATGGTTTTCAAAGGTTCTCTAACTGATATCAATCCGTGATCAACTCTTAAAAGCAAAACTAATCCTTACAAACCAACTATAGAAAACTTCTACTTATCATTAACTTTCACTTCCACCCTCTCCTTTCGAACCTTTTATCATCTTATATGTATGGATAAACGCTTGTTGTGGCAGATTATTAACGCTATTTTGTAGTCATATTTCTTGTTCCGAGATTTTTATCCTTTGAGTTGAATTGTTTGTCTGAGGTATGTTCTATATTTTTTGCACTTACAAATAACTTATGTTAGTTTTTAGAACGTTAGCAGTTAGTGAAAAGCTGTGAAATAAGAGAAAACATGAACCCTTTTTTCTCTCTCCTGAGAATATGTTCGTTCAAACTGCTCAAGGGAACTGATTGCATGGAGGCTTCAGTGTTATCAATTCCTCTCTCCACACTGTTATTACATTAGATTTTAGAACTGTCATGTTGTCCCATTGTATTGTGTGATTGTATGTAACTGCATGAAGTGCTATCCGTGAGGTATATGATTACTTATGGAATCAGCTAAGAATACATGAGACAAGAATGATTCAGCCACTGCATCTAACATCTCTGGGATTATGAATTATGCATGCAAACTATCAAATTCTTAGATGTAAGTCAAGCGAATGTCTTCCCCCCCCCCCAGTAAGCTGTTAATATCTGAGATACAGTGTCATGTCATAACTTATAGGTGTTTCGGCGTGCACTAGCACACATACATGGTAACTAACATGTTTTACTGTTTCGTAATTTGTCTTGTGTAGTAGCTTTGCTCATCCTAACTATGTTGGAATTTTCTAATTTTGAATTAATACCAACTTAGCGAAGCCTTTGGAGATAGAAGTAAGCCAAGGCTGCCTACTATCATCACCCACGATGATATTCCTGATTGTTGAAAACATTTATTTCTCGATAGGAATTTGAAATAAGCAATAAAGGCTAAAAAAGCAGGATTTAATGAATTCATCAAATTTCGGTAGAACTGGTCAGCAGATTACTCTACATACATGGAAATATATACTTTTGAAATTACATTGAGAGATATAAGACTGACAAGTAAACAAACTACATTGAATTAGTCATGCAGATAGACATGTGCGAATGTTTTGCAGGTCATGTTCAAAAAGATAAGGGGAGAGAGAGTATGAGAGATCAAAATTAAGATAAATTGTATTACGCTTCAATTACATCACTTAGATAAACAATTAGGCATTACAGAATAAAACAAGAATTGCAAACAGAGTAATATCAATAGTAATAGTTATAATAATAATAACAGTGTTGAAGTGAGTTAAGATAATGCTACTGATAAAGGATAGTTTTAAATGAATCAAGAATAATAGTAATAATAACAGGCAGAATGATAAGTAAAACGTATTACCATGGTAGATTCAGAGTCACGACCATCTCCTTTTGTACACAGAGACCTGGTTTATTAACTCGAATTGCACAAGCCTCTGCAATTGCAAGCATCTTCTTTTATCTTTGTCTGCTGACAATAGTGAATGACTTGACCGCATCGATATTATGTCCGTAGTCCACAAGATGTTTTGTTATTGAGGATTTTGGCACTTTGCATTCAGCTGTTTTCAACCATTTTGGCAAATGCTCCGTCATGCAAGTAGACAATCGCCTTTCCGTACGGCCTATGTATTTGCTTCCACAAACACACTCAAATTGATATACGCAGTTTGAAGTATCGAGGATTGGGGACTGGTTTTTGCCAGATTGTTGAAGCACTCGCTTAGTGGTGTTAAGGATAACAAGTTTTGCAGCATAATAAGTTGTCTTGATGGCTTTATCGAGTCTTCGTTTGACTACTTCCTGTACACCATCCCCTTTGAGCGGCATTTAAGTGTGTTTGTGGAAGCAAATACATACTTCCGTTATGGGTAAATTTTATTTTGATAAAAAGTCTCACAGTGTTATACAGTAATATTTACTGATGACGTTTCGAGCACAATTTATTGCTCGTAATCATATCAAGGTAATCACACGACTTCCTAAATTCATTTATATAGTTCCATTGTTTTTCACTTGATTTGATTAGTAGTAATATTTTCCATATTTCGGGTATGAGTTATGAATCATTCCTATTGCATGTGTTGGGTGTAGATTCGATGAACAAGGATTCAGTAATCAACCTCTCTCTCCACCTACCTAGATTACTTTTTAGAATTTTAACGCTCTCCTTGTTCATCTAATCTACACCCAACACATGCAATAGGAATGATTCATCACTCATACCCGAAATATGGAAAATATTACTACTAATCAAATCAAGTGAAAAACAATGGAACTATATAAATGAATTTAGGAAGTCGTGTGATTACCTTGATATGATTACGAGCAATAAATTGTGCTCGAAACGTCATCAGTAAATATTACTGTATAACACTGTGAGACTTTTTATCAAAATAAAATTTACTCATAATTGAATTACACTCTACCACAGTGCCCAAGTTTTATTCTTATATCAAGCAAATACATAGGTCGTATGGAAAGGCGATTGTCTACTCGCATGATGGAGCATTTGCCAAGACTAACCTTCACTGATCTGAAATCAATGTGAAAATTTGCTGCAATCAACGAAATAAACAAGTTCCTTCAACACTAATGTCAAGTCAGTTCTTCTGCATGAGTCAAAGATGACACCTTATGGGAAGTATTTCCAATTAGCTGCTGCGGACTTTTATCAACAACTTACCTCACTGGTTGCATAGTGAAGGTGAGACAGATAGTAAGAAGAGACTATCAACAAGGAACTCTATCAAGCAACGGGCCAAGTGAGAACCTATTGCCAAACTGATATGTCGAAGAAAATGAAAATGGATTGGAGACAGGCTGAGGAGGCCGCTGAGCGACACTATGCACCAGGCCATCTGAGTGGGAGACAGTGAGTTGGGCCTCCTAGGATGATATGTATGAGGTGTAAGCTTGTGGGCAGTCATGGAAAAAGCTGAAGAGGACTGAAGAGGGCAGGAAAAAATTCAGATGTGCTGTTGAAGTCCTATGTTCTACTCGCAACCCAAGGGAATAATAATGATTTCTACCAATTCCTGATTTAGCGCGACCCCAACCATTATCGTTGATGGCACATCCATCGACACACGTGACATCCAATTGGACCTCACTGGTCACAACTCCTCACAAGAACTCCAGGAAATTCCATCCTGTAGCAAGTCACTAGCGAGCATCAGATTAGTTTTCTATGGTTGGTTTATAAGGACTAGTTTTGGTTTACTAGTCGGGTCCCAGTGGCTAAATGGTATACGAGCCAGCTTCCTTGTAACCGGGAGGTCCTGCGTTCGAACCGTGGAGGTGGGTGCGTACTGCCGATGATTCCGAAACTAGGATGAAACAGCTGGTTCTCTAATTGATATCAGTCCGTGATCAACTCGTAAAACATAACTAACCCTTATAAACCAATCTATAGAAAATAATAGTAATAATAATAGTTACAATCACTACATAGTAATTGATTATTTTCATTGGTGCTCCATTAACCACCTATGTATTTCCAATAAGTGGTCTTAATCTGTCATTTAGGGTGAGGAGGAGCGGGAGGATCATCTATCCACCATGTAGAAGTATATCTGACTCTATGAAACTGTATTTGTCAGCGTAGTTCCATACAAAACGTAAAGATGAAAATTTCAAAAAGCAAAACGGAGTCGATAACCTTGTTGGTAACATTGTTGTAATATGATCTGAAAGATTTTTGTTTCAGCTCATATTACCTTGTGATTTATATGATGGTTAAGAGATTGTAAAGTAGAAAGGCACAGTCATCATTCAGTGGACTTTGGGTTTTCATGGATTTCCACTCTCCTTACAACATTTTATATTTTTGTTTTGTTTCTTTCTTTCTTATTATTATTGTTGTTGTTTAGATTTCCAATTCAGCTGAACTTCCAGAACGTCTTCGGACAACATTAAAACGAATCAATGAACGGCTAATAGCAGTGGATGGTCATCCAAGTGTATTAGCAGGGGTTAGTTATTACACTGATCAATCACAATGTTATCGCATATATGCCGGTGTCTTTGTAGTGATACTATTGCGGGATTTTTGTGCAAGGAATTAATACTACATCAGTGAACAGGTCTCACAGATTAGTTATTCGGATAACTCTGTTGATAACCTTGAAACCATTGCTTCGGATCTTGCAGTTTCTCAACCTTTCTCTCTTAACTTGAAGCAGTTGTCAGTCATTCAAGCAAATATTATTCTGGCCAAACTTAAAATCACTTTAGTACCGCTGATTAAGTCACGGAATCCTAGCCAACCACGAACGTGATCCCGGTTCGACTCTTGGCCGATGTAGTTATAGACCTCGCCTAATTTACTAGCCAAATGTAATCCCGAGAAAGAGGGAAGGTAGGACGTGAGACTGACAAACACACCTCACGAAATTTTCACCGCTACAGTACTGAAACTTCGCGGCCAGATGTTGAAGTCATATGTTCCACTCGAAAAGTAGGAGACTGAAGAGAAAAAATTGCTTTTTCTTTTGATTTCAGTCCAGAGACTCATATTGACAGAGTGAGTCGAATAATTAGTCTGGAAATAGGCTAATCTTCATTTACTCTACATGTTAAATTCGAAATAAGGACCTTCCGATTACAAGGCGATTTCGTAGACCATTAAACCACTGGGAAACGATCCAATGGCCTATGAATTCCAACTTTCTGTTTTAACTGTCTGTGGTGCTTTAACTTCTAAAATATATAAAATTAATCTTCTCTTACATTAATGGATTCCTGGAGGGTAATCTGCAGAAGGTTTACTGCGTCTCTTATAACTTAGTGATGCTGTTTATGACCACAGCCATTCGACAGCTCACGTTCGGATCTGTCAGCGGGACACCATTCTCCAAATTTGTAGATATGCTCTTCTGATGATTATAAAAATGTACGGAACTGGGAGTTCAAGTCTTCGTGCTCAGTTTCCTTCAAATAATCGTTTTAAGCCTTATTACTGATAATGAGCACTGCAGTTTTACATATTCATCAACAGCACCCGTACATCGGTGGCACAGCGGTTAGGACGCTCGCCGACCATGCACATGATCGGGGGTTCGATCCCCGGCCGACGAACTCCCTTGCCTTGCCAAGCCAGTAATAAAAGGTGGTAAAGAGGAAAGGTTGGGTATGAGGCTAACAACCCTATCCTGTAAAAGCAAATACTGCTACAGAAAGTTCAAGCTAGAAGCTCGAAGCCCTATGTTTCACTGGGAACGTGAAGGAATAAAAAAAATCAACAGCACCCATAATATTTGAATCTGACACAGTACAGATTTCCCTTTCAACTACACTCACCATAAGGCTAATTAATTTTTTCCTTATGTAATGATTATTGACAATAGACTTCTTCAAACTAAACATACTTTTCGTCTGTTAGCTTCTATATAATCTCACTATGAAAGAAGGATCTATATCCATAATAATAATTTGATCACGGTTGTTTCGTCCTAGTTTGGGACCCTTCGGCAGTACACATCCACCGCCACGGTTTGAACCCAGGACCTTCCGGTTACAAGGTGAGTTTGCAGACCATTCAGCCACTGGGACCCGACCCAATGACCAGCCGCATAAATTCTAACTTCTACCTATTCGTGACTTTATTGCGATAACCAACCAATGCCTTCGGCGAATATTTGACTTCACTTTAGGCCTGACACCCTTGATTTCGACATTCACTGCCATGTATTAGGAGTCTCTGAGGTAACTTTGATGACTTTTGAAAATAACAGATATATCTGGTTGGCAAAAACCAATCAGGATTGAGATTGGAATGAAACAGAATCCCCAGAATTTCTATCAACCATCTCATATTACATGTAAATCATTTAAATGTTATGAAAGAGGAAGAGAAAAACTTTCTCATTCATTTTGTGCACTTTATTCTATTTAAAGGATCGTTTCTCCTTGCCATTACGTGGACCTATTGATTTATTTAATACTTGCAATTCACCTACTGAAATCAGTCCAACGGTGACTGGCACAAATGGCGCTGAACGTGAATGTCAACTAGTACATTGTCTACAGATTTATGTTGTCTCAGTGGAATCAGTTATTTGTTTAGCAGATATATTAGAAACAGTAAATTTACCTTTATTGTTGTTATTTTTACATTGTTTTATATAGTTAAATTTAATTGCTGCCTTCAGTTCTTCAAATTGGTTAGTGTACTATATGCATTACATTAAACTATTATTATTATTGTTTCCTTTAACTCCTAGAGGAATATAGGGCTTCAGCCGTGCGTCTCCATTGCATTCGGTTCTCTGTTAGAGTTTTCATCTGGCTCCAAGTCTGCCCACACGTTTTCATCTCCTCTTCACATGACCTCCTCCAAGTCACCGTTGGACGACCAACTCGCCGCTTCCCTTTCGGGTTCCACTCAAGGGCTTGTTTAGTGATGTCACTTGATGGTTTCCTCAGAGTATGGCCAGCCAATCCATCTCCATTTCTTCCTGCCTATTTGTTTCACAATCGGTTCCTGGTTGGTTCGCTCATTGCCAGAGATCTCTGTTGTTGATCTTTTCTGGCCGGCCATCTGATCTTGAGTATTGAGCGAAGACAGCTAGCTGTTGATGAAGGTCTGTAGTTTGTTTGAGATGCTCTTTATGACGCGCAGTGCAAGTCTCTGATCCGTATAGTAGCAATGACTTCATATTGTCGTAATATTATCTCCTCCTATTGAAACAAGCTGGAGTCAGTAAAGGCAAGTCATATGCTGATCAAATCGCAACTCTACGCATCATCACCATCATCGAACTAAGCATAGAATGGCAGTCAAATATCTGCCTGAACCTCATCGACTTTGAAAAAGCCTTCAACATCATCAACTGTGTCTTACAGGCTGAAACCACGAAACTGGCTAAAGAAGCAACAAAGGCAGGAATTCAAGTTAACACAGCCAACGACAACAACAACAAGCATCAACCACTATAAACAGGAGAAATTTGAAAGAGGTCATTTCCTTCACTTACCTAGGAAGCATCTTGTCAACTAAAGGTGGTGGCATAAATGAAGATGTCAAAGCAGGCTAGAATTGGAAAGGCATGACAGACTTTCATTACTCTGAAATCAGTTCGGAAATCTGATGCACTCAGCATTCAGAAACAAAATTCGGATTTTCAACACCTATGAGAAGTCAGTCACCTCTTTTATATGGGTCAAAAACTTGGTGAGCAAATCACGAAAACCACTTTTAACAAGCTACTGCAGACGTTTCTCGACAGCTGCCTTCGCTGGCTCCGTACTGAAGATCAAATGGCCGGCTGGAAAGGATTAGCAAGAAGAAACTCTGGGAACGGACCAACCGAGCACATATTGCTCAACAAATATGTAGAAGAAAGTGGAGATGGATCAGAAACACGCTGAGGAGACCGTCAAGTGACATCTCGCTAGAGCGGAACCCAAATGGAAAATTGACCAGTTGGTTATGAGTCCCAGGGTGACGTGGAGGTGATCGTGCGACTGGGAGATGCGAGACTATGAGCAGTTGTGATGTCGGCTACAGAGGACCGCAGAGAATATGACAAAGTGGAGATGTGCTGCTGAAACCCATTCGGAACCCGAAGAAATAATACTAATATCATCTATTAAGCATATCTTCAGTCTGTTTTCCTATTGCTATTCAATGGGATTAAAATTAACTTCCTCAGGCGGTAAGCCTTGTTAGCTTAAGAGTTTTCGACTTTCTCCTTAATAGATCCCGCGTTCAAATTTTTCCACTCCAACCTACTTTGGTCTGGGCAACGGGGTAGATATTATCATCAGCCCTATCACATATATATATATATATATATATATATATATATATATATATATATATATAGTGAATGTGGCGCATAACCTGTCTGGTACTTGAAAATCTTGACCTGGTTATCCGAGTTCAGACTGATTCTATTTTTGTGATCTCAGTTTTTTATTACCTGTCATTAGTACATATAGTTTCTTTGCCTAGTTTGTATATATATATATATATATATATATATATATATATATATATATATATATATATACTGAAACCTGAAACCAATCTGGAAATCTTCGTCATTCAGCATCAACAACAAAATTCAGTGAAGGAAGTGACTAGTAGGACAGTTTATAATTCCTAGTATACTCATCGATCAGAAGACATGAATACAAGATAGTTAATATTATTGAGATAATCAAACAACCAGAGTTTATTCATATATAATGTTACAGAAAATTCGAGGGTCAAGAAGAAAAGGATAGAGTTAAAATATATTGGTGATCAATACATATAGTAAGTTGATAAGGTAAGTTATTACGTAAATAAAGAAATAAGTAGGCTTTGAACGCCTTGACATTGAGTTCAACTCAGTGAGTATCGACCAATCAAAGACTGTGACGTATTAAAGACAAATCTGATTACTTGCGTAGTGTGTAATGTGAGACGTTAATGTAGAGAAGGTGATGACTAAGTGGAGATTAGGTGAAGACGGCAGTTGGAATTACATACATAATAAGCGTGAAGAATGACTGATCAATCTAAATGGACAGAAACTTATGGAAAAAAGGTAATGTGTATATAAAATATGTATGAGCAACACAGTGTTGTTAATAGCCAATAATAGCTACAGTCATAATGCTAAGATAATAACAATTAACTGGAACAATGAAGTGAAACAAAATTATGGCAAGAATGTTACTCTGGCCATGGTAAATTCAGTGAGCGTATGTAATGTTTTTGAACTCAGAGATCCGGTTTCAGGTCCCTGATAGGTAGTGATTAGGCTACGCATAAACGGCGTATTCTAACTCCTGTCGTGCGGTATTAGGGGACTCAGTGTAGCACTCTAATGCAGCTATGCAGGAGTGACTGATACCTAGAGTTGACAAGATGTTTGAGAATAAAACTACTGTTATTCTTCTTTTCTCCTCTGACCTGCCAGTCTGAACAGTGGTCCATAATCCATTTGCAAACTTGACAGTAAAGTAAAGCCTATATACAATGTTCTACAAGAACAAGTAAACTGATAAATACATACTGATGTGCCCAAGAGCGATATCGTTTCCTTTACGGATGACGAGATTAAAGGTCTCCTGGAGATTGTTACTCGTAAGGTGGTTGCTTGAAATGTCTCCTTCAAACATTTAGAAATGTGGTTCCTAAGAATTTCTGCTTCAGTGTCATCTTCGATCTCCAGATACATGAAGGTAGTTTTCTTAGGAACAGCTGCAGCTTTCAGTAACGGAGGTGTTTCTCTAATTTGTAAAGAACGGAACTATTTTTCCTATCCCTGGGTCCAAAGAACATACTAGATTTGACTTTCTGACCAGTTGGACAAAGCTCTGGAAGTGAATGAACCGTCCAGTCTACGTTAGTTCTCGGTATATCGGTCTTTGGAATGAGTTTTCTTGTCTTCGAATGAGTAACCCACCTAGAAATGGAAAAGGCAGGTTTCATTCTCCTTCAAGAGTGAATTTTATCGCAGAATGTACTAAGTTAAAAATGTTAGGGAAATTGTCTAGATCGAAGTTTTCCTGGTAAATCTTAAAATTATCATCTACATATCCTTTGTAGAAGTGGAATTGACTCATCAAAAGATCGGGGATTTTATTTTCAAGACAGTTACCTAAGAGTGAACCAAAAAGAGACTCCATAAACCACACCATCTTTCCGTATGTAGTAATTGTTCGTTGAAATTGAACTCATTGTTGAAGGTACATCTAAGAAGCAGTTCCTTCGAGTAGTTTGTGGAAAGAGGAATTTCTAAGTTGTTGGATTTGATGTAGTCACAAATGAAGCTTAGTTTCTCAGTTAAAGAGACGCTTGTAAACAGGGAAATAACATCTAGAAACATCACTTCGTGTCCAAACAGATCGATATCTTTTACTGATTTTATGAAATCAAATGTGTCTTTAAGGCTACACCTCATTCAATTGTGTTTATGAACTCTTCGTTAAAGAGAAATACGATTGTGCAGCTCTTAAAGATGAGTCGTCGGAAAGAAAATTTTCCTCACTATTGTGTCTTCGTTTGTTTATAACTGTATATGAGAATTTTCCGTTCATACCTGCTTAGCATGTTAGGTTTATTAAGTATCTTACTGTATTACAATGGTTTGATCGTAATCTTTTGCTAGCATTTTCTTTGGGCCCACTGCAGAATTTTCGGGTGCATTACAGAACATGGGACAGTTATCTGCAGTCTAAGCAAAAGTTCCTGCAGTGTGTCCGAAGTGGATGCTAGCTGGGTGACTTGTGCAAAACAAAGTAATCAATGTTTTCTGTGTACATTGATGATCTTAAGAATTTTATTGACCCATGATCTAATGAAATTCAGATAAACTGACTATATAGTTACTGTTTTAAGGGTGAGTACAATCGTCATTCCCGCTCTTCTCAGTGATATAGATGCATTCTTTTAAGTAAATTTTGTATGAGTCATTAAAATGTCAACATAGACTCCTTCATTTATCGATAAATTAGTTAGAGAGTTATTTAAAACCAATGAGCAATGGACAGCTTTCTCGTCCCACTATGCGACTCTTCAGGAGGACACACGCATGACCCCACTATGGATTGATTTCTGGACATTCAGATGTAATAACTCAGCGAGCAATCTGACCATCTACCTGCTAAGTGTGAATTTATTTGAGGCAGCGTCGCCACCAACTAATACTACTGATAAGCATCCGACTGAAATCCAACACGGTGGATTCTATTGGCTATGACTTCTCAAGAAGAACGTCAAGGTATAAACACATCCTAATACCATTCCCTAATGATTAATTCCAATGTAGATTTGTTCAGTACATATTTCAATTTATTTAAACAAAGAAATAGATGGATAGAATACACAAAAGAATAGTAGATTATTATTTGGGCCTGATAAACAGAACACTTTTGTTTTCATCAGCACCATCATAATAACAATAAAAAAAAACAGAAACTGTGAACTTTTGTTTTTGTCTGAAATATTCACTTCTTTTTTTACAAGAGAAAGAGACGGAGTTAGAGAGAGAGAGAGAGAGAAAGTAAAAAGTGAACAAACCACACCTTGTGTCTCAGTTCATAATCGATTACAGTTGTTTAGTATTCATTAAAGTTAGATTAGTACGTCAGCTGTTGTTCAGTGGTAGAATGCTCGCTAACCATACATGCATGGTCTGGATTCGATTCACAGCCGAAACACTCTTAAACTGCGCCTAGTCTCCTAGCCGATTATTAATCCCAGCAAGGACTGAAGTTTGGGCTTGAGGCTAAGAATCTCACCTCGTAAAAACGACAACACTGGCACTACTGAAACGTCAAGACTCAGGCTTGAAGCCTCATGTTCCATTCGGAATGCATAGAAATGAAAAATAATCAGACTAGTAAAATTGATAGGTATTAGAACTGTTTAATCCACCATAGATGATACTAGGAAACTTCTTATGTAACTATACTTCATTCTTTAAGAACTAGAGTATTTCAGAATTAACTGAAAAGTGGAAGCTTCATTTACCACTGCTTTTCTTTTGTTTTAGCATAGGTCAGATCGAACCTAGAATCTTCAGACTGCGAGTCGAGACGGTTAAATAATCAGTCACTGAAACGGAATCCAATGGCCCATGGATTCTAACCTCTGCCAGTTCACCACTTGGAATTAATAATTGAAAATTATTCTAATGCTCACTAATGGCTGATAACAGGATGGTATCCCTGGAGTTCTAGTAGGAAGTCGTAACCAGTGGTGAGGTACACTAAGTAGGGTGTGATGACAGATACTCGCTCACGGTATCGGCGATATGGAAGTCGCAAATCGACAAAATTTAGAATTCATAAGCCATTGGGTTCTATTGGATTGGCTCATCACCTCGTAACCTGAATGTCCTGGTTGCATAATGCCGAAGGCTACCGAACTAGGATAAAACAGCGGTACATTGTACTGCTTGGCTTTCATTGATTATTATTATTGTATCCTTTAATTCCTAGAGGAACATAGGGCTTCAGCCGTGCGTCTCCACTGCGTTCGGTTCTCTGCTAGAGTCTTCACCTGGCTCCAAGTCTGCCCACACGTTTTCATCTCCCCTTCACATGACCTCCTCCAAGTCACCCTTGCACTGATGACCAACTCGCCGCTTCCCTTTCGGGTTCCACTCGAGCAATGGCTTGTCTAGTGCTGTCGCTTGATGGTTTCCTCAGAGTATGGCCAGCCAATCCATCTCCATTTCTTCCTGCCTATTTGTTTCACAATCGGTTCCTGCTGTGTTGGTTCGCTCCCAGAGATCTCTGTTGCTGATCTTTTCTGGCCATCTAATCTTCAGTATGGAACGAAGTCAACTGTTAATGAAGGTGTGCAGTTTGTTTGAGATGCTCTTTATGACGCGCAGTGCGAGTCTCTGATCCGTGTAATAGCAGACTGACTTCACATTGGAGTTGAAAATCCGGATCTTATTTTTGATGCTGAATGCTGTTGACCTCCACACAGACTTGACGTGAGTAGTGAAAGCTTGTCTTGCTTTCCTGATTCTTGCTCTGATATCCTCGTCAGTTCCGTCCTCCTGTAGTTGGAACGATGCTTCCCAGGTAGGTAAAAGAGGTTGTTTCTTTCAGGTTCCTTCCATTTATGCTGATTGTTGTCCGCTGTTGTTGGTGGTGTTGCCCAGGAATCTTCATCACCTCTGTTTTCCCTATGTTCACCTGAAGACCTATCTTTGATGCTTTTGCTATCACCAACTTGTTGCTTTTCGCTTGCATATCTTCCAGGTTGTGGGTAATCAGACATATATCATCGGCGAAGTCTAGATCCTCCAAGTTTTTGGTGTGAGTCCATTTTATGCCTGTTTCCTCATTGTCCGCTGTTTGTCGCATTATCCAGTCTACTGCAATCAGGAAAATCATTGGCGATAGTAGGCAGCCAGCTTGTCTTACTCCTGTCCTCACTTCGAAGGATTCCGTAAGTTTCCCGTTGTGGATTACTTGGCATGCAGCATTGTCGTACAGCTGTTGGATGAGATGTATAATTGTCGGTGGCACCCCATAGTAGCGAAGTAGTTTCCAAAGCACCTCTTGATCGATGCTGTCGAAGGCCTTTTTAAAGTCGATGAAGTTGAGATAGAGAGGTGACTGCCATTCCAAGCTTTCATTGATGATACCAGTTTTTGGTTGAAATCGAAACCAGTCAAATGCTCACAGAGCACCACTTGAAAATAATTGTTTTCGTAGTTAAATAGCTTTTTAAGTTTGGTGTGATTTTCTAGTCGTTAGGTGTATGCGTGTGCCTCGCTTATTTAAATTATTTGACTTTCAACCAATAGGCAATTGGTTCGAATCATGCTTCACTTACTCAGATTTAGCAGTGCAAAGCAGACGAAGGCGAATAGTATTTGTTCTCCCCTTTGTAGATTATTTTGGAGGAGGTGTTTGTTGAGATGGAATGACCAGTGTTGACAAATTGGTTGAGAACAGTATCCTACATAGTTGCAGAAAGGTGGTAATAGCTTGGCTCTATAAGTAGTGCGATAATTGAACACCTTGTCAACACTGTTTACTCACATTTAAACAGGAAGTACTGATAAGTGCTATGGAAATATCAATCCAAAAGTCGGTTAGACAAAGTTTGTTTCTTATTGTTTTGTGTTCTGATTGTCAAATAATGTGTGAAAAAATTAGGATATCTTTCCTTTTTCAATTTGTTTACAAGCAGTAACTTTTTTTGTTTTATTTCCTGCATTAATTTAGGTCCTTCTACCGCATTTAACAGCTTGTCTACCAGATAATAAACGTGGTCTAGCACTTGTATTCCGGGAACAATCATTAATGGCAGCTCGACAAATTCGTGAACCTTGTGCCACGGGATTAGCACCACGATTATTAAATATCATAATACCTAAGTAAGCAAAGATTTTATATTATTGTTATCATTATTACTCCCTTGGATCCCGAGTGGAAAATAGGACGTCAGTTGCACGTCGCCATCTCACTCTGTTCTCTAGAGTCTTTTCTAGCTGGTGGCACGATCACCTACAAGCTTCCATTTTCTCCTGACACGACCTCCTCCATACCAACCTTGTGCCTACACCCAACACATCATTCCTCGTTCGGGTTTCTCTTCACGGTCTGGTACATGATGTCACCCAGCAGGTGTCCAATCCACCTATGTTTCCTTCCACATATTTGTTGAACACTACGTTCTTGGTCGCTTCGCTGCTTGCCACAGTATCTTGTTGTTGATCCTTATGGCTATCTAAGCTTCGGTAGAGAATGAAGGCAGCCATTGGCGAAGATATGCAGTTTATTCGAAATTTTTATTATATATTTACTTTGCTCTTTTACCTTCCGAGTGGAACGTACGACTTTGAGATCTGAATTCTCAGTGGTTTCATTTTTTACGGGGCAGGGTTGCTAGCCTCACGCTTAACCTTCCCTCTTTACCAGCTGCCTTACTTACCGGCTTAGCGAGGTGTTTGGGAGTGCATCAGCCGGGGAACGAACTCTGGACCATTTTAGTGGTTGGTAAGTGTTCGGCCACTGAACCACCGATGTACCAGCCTATTGGAAATGCTTGCTTTAAATACCAATAGTATTCAGCAGATTTCCACACTGATTTCAGTTCACTAAGCGACTGTTTTGCTTTTCTGATCTTGGCTGCCTGTGACATCTTCGTGTTGCCTCTGGTCAATCAATTTATTTCTATTTGGGGAGTAACTCAAATATATGGTGTTTTCCTCTAATTATTGACACTATTCATTCGTTTGATCATTTCTTAAATGGAATAATTTGTTAATGTTTGCGGTAAATGTATTTCTTAGCTCATAAGTAAGAATTATGAACTCGGCGGCAAAGCGGTTTGGACGCCCGGCGACCATGCACATGGTCCGGGGTTCGATCCCCGGCCGACGCACAACGGATATCAATGGTCGGCCTGCTATATTTATGCTAGCAATATCGCCTGCTGAAAATTCCATAGTTGTACCAAAATACGGTGTGGAATCAAGCTATAATAAAAATTATAAAATAAGTGTGCTTTCGAAAACAGAGAGTTCAGACCATCAGGATGCTGATGGCCTTACCCACCCATGGGAAATCTACATACTCAAATGAACTGGTGACCTGTAAGACTTCTTATCCTCTGAGTGCCAGACAGAAAAAAGAGGGTGTTGCAAACTGGTACGCTTTGTCATACAACTTAACGGTTCAATGTAGTTTCTAAAGACAAGAAATTGGACGGTTTAAGATATTTCACTCCACTCGTTTTCGTAAAATCACTCAAGTATGATAGAACGAGTATCTAAGTAATGCGAAGGTTAGGTATGGACATGTGAAGTACATAAATTTATCGTTCATCTAAATGCTTATTCATTTGAAGCACAGCTAAAGGCGTTAATCTGAAGAAGGTAGCTTCGTTATATGAAGTATGTAATGTAGTGAGTGGTCTGACTCGTTGTTCCACAAGAACTGCAAGACACCTGAAGGAAACGTTTATTGATTCTAGGTAACATAAATGCAAACAGACTGCAATAATGATGTTTTAATCTTTAGAGTTCCATACCTAAGTGGTATAATAGTGTGAGCAATATTGAGGTTAGGAATCGTTCGAGTGCCAGCTAGGTAAGAAGGGGAAATCAATTGACGGGGCTGTGAAGCTACATCGACTGAGATGGTTAGGACATGTGTTATGTATGCCTAGCCATCTATTGCCTTCCTCGAAAGTGGGCAATGTTAGCTGACATAGGGTCAGGCTAGAAAAGAGCTAGTGGCGGTCAAACCATAACATGGCACCAGTCAATGAAATCCACAACAGTTAGTTTAAGCCACGTAGGAAGATGTAGACTTCCTGGTTGGGGTCTTCAGAACCAATGGCTGGAAACAATCCGTGATATGGCTCAAAATCGTTCTCAATGGGTGGCGCAGATGCCTCCACTTCTTGTGACTTATAATTTCCAATGAAACTATGTTGTTCTTCGTTATTACTATTCCTTTTGTATCATATCGCTGTCTACTGTCTCTATTATGCATTTCTTCTCTTGCTTTGTGTGCTACATGGAGGGAGTGTGGCGGCTTGAACTGCTGCACATCGGTGCAAAGTTCTATGGTGAAAACAGACAGACAGACTCAAGTGTCTAAAAATATCCAATAAAACAACAACCAATAACTCAATGGATTTTTGTAATGTCTCATACTATCCGTCCTCTGTAGCTTTCTTCCTATTTCAGTTAGTTCCTGGCGGTACAATAAATACTTGGAAGACATTGGTTGGACACCAGTAAGTAACTAGTGTAGTGTATCTAGTCCTTTGTTTGGTGCAGACTGATGACAGTTTCCATCTAGTGTCCAATCAAAGTATCCAATGCAGTCCTACAGGAGGTCAATCACGAGAGTGAATAGCTCTGACTGCAGCACTGGGTCACGCGAGTTCGAATCTCAGAAAGGACTTGAGTTCCTTCAACGTGGTTGCAGATACGCCTTGCTGACTAGTGAGTGCCAACAAGCTCGAAACCTAGGTCCAACGCCTTTCTTCCGATTACCTCCATCTAATATCAATAATTCTAAATGGGTAGGCGTGTGTAGCATATGATACGACCGCATCATGGGGATGAATGTCGGCTATCTTACCAATTGACTTACCTTTACTTCACTAATACTTCCCTGCTTGATTCTTTTCCCACTTTCTCCTAAATATATATTCTTGTGCAGTATAAAGCAAATTAAATCGTTATTATGCTGTTAATTTTAATCGATATTTCTGTTGACCACTAGAATTTTAGTCGATTATGCGATATTCTTTTAAGCAAAATGCTTCTTTCGAACATATTTCTACATTGATTTATCTCTTATTTTCAACAGGATGAATGATGCATCATCAACAAAGTATCCTCGACAGTCGACAACAAGTAACAGTAGTGCATCGAGCACTTCAAGTTTCAGTAGGATATGGCCATTAGGCTCTAGTCTAAGTCAACAACAACAACAACAGAACCAAAGTGACAAGGAGTCTCCCACTACCGCTACTACAGCAAATGCAAACTCTCCATTATCTCCACCTCAGAATCCCACTAATATAACTCCTGTTGCTTCTCCTCTTACTAATTCAGTCGATATTCTTGCTATGCATATATGTGCATTGAATTGGTCAACTAAAGAAGTTGCCAATACACCAAACACTTATGTCAATCATATTAATACTTACATATTCTATCCATTTTCATTAACAATACAAAATATATCACAGAAATTTAATCTACAAAATCATGTAATGATTATTGTCATTTGGAATGCATTATTAGCTTGTTTAGCTACTCAGCTACTTGAAGCATTTGGACGTGTACAACAATGCTCTGATGAAGGACGTGGACAAATGTTATTAGATATACAAACATTAGCTGTATACGCTCAATCGGCTAGTAAAATACGGTATGCTATTATTCAATGTTGTTTAAAAATATGAAGTATAATATTTAGTGAATTAATCACTATGGAAACGTAAATATGGAGTGAAAGTCCCATTGGTTTATTTATCATTTATTTATTTATTATTCCCTTGGGTTCTGAGTGGAACATAGATCTTCAACACCACATCTCCACTTTCTTCTATTTTCTGTCATCCTCTTCAGCTGGATCTACGATCGCCCATAATCTCTCATCTCCTCCAACTCGCACGATCTCCTCCATGTCAACCCCGCACTGATGACCCTATCGTCTCTTCCCATTGGGATTCCACTCGAGCAATGGCCTGGCGGGCGATGTCATTCGATGGTTTCCTCAACGTGTGCTCGATCCATCTCCATTTTCTTCTACATATTTGTTGAGCAATCGGTTTTTGGTTGGTTTGTTCCCAGCCAGAATTTCTTGTTGCTAATTCTTTCCACCGGTCAATTGATACTTGTTATGGAGAGAAGGCAGCAATTGATAAAAGTCTGTAACCTGTTGGAAATGCTTTCCGTGACACTTGCGCTAAGTTTCTGACCCATATAAAAGAGGTGACTGACTTAACATTGGTGCTGAAAATCCGAATCTCGTTGTTTGTACTGATCGCATAAGATCCCCAAACTGATTTCAGAGTAAAGAAGGCGTATTTTGCCTTCCCGATTCTGGCCTGCTTTGACATCTTCATCCGTTCCGCCTGTAGTTGAAACGATGCTTCCTAGATAAGTGAGGGAGGTAACCTCTGTTAAATGTCTCCCGCTGATACCGATTGGTTGTTGCTGTTCGTCGGTTATCTTCATCACCTCCGTCTTCTCTATGTTCACCTGGAGTCCTGTCTTCGCTGCCTGCCTCTATAGCCAGTTTGTTAGTTTTCGCTTCCAAGTTATCAAGTTTGTGTGGCAATAAACATAAATTATCTGCGAAGTCCACATCTTATCGATCAAGAGTATTCCTGCCTTCTGACTCCCAACTCACAGTTTGACGCATAATCCAGTCCACCACAATTAGGAATATCATCGTGGGTGATAGGGGGTAGTAGTCTTGTCGTACTCCTGTATTCACTTCAAAGGCTTCGCTGAGTTGTTTGTTGTGTATCACCTGACATGTGGCATTGTCCTATAGCCGCTGAATGAAATCGATAAAGACTTCGGTTACGCCAAAATGCTGAGGCAATTTCCAAAGGCCTTTCCGAAGTCGATGAAGTCCAGGTTTTACTACCATTCTATGCTTTGTACGATGATGATGCGTAGAGTTGCAATTTGATCGGCACATAATTTGCCTTTCTTGAATCCAGCTTGTTACGGTTGGTGGAGTTCTGCATCCAGTACATCTTTTATTCTCTCCAGGATGACGCCAGTTAGTACTTTACTTGGAGTGGACAACTGCATGATTCCATTCCAGTTTTTGTAGAGGCGTAAGCCGCCCTTCTTTGGTAGCTTGACAAGGTAACCAGCCTTTCTTCCAAACCTTTTGCAATAATGGCGTCAGCTTCCACTGGTCTAGGCATTCGATATCCAAACACTAGTTTGCGGATTCAAGTCCCTACTGAGGTTTGGGCGGTTAGCCATCACACGTTAGGTATAACCCATTGCCAACTGTGTCGTACTGTAGGTGGTTGAGTTTGTTGGAACTAGGAAACAAAACTAATTTTTCTACTACTTGTTGACATTCCGTTCATCAGAGTTCCTATTAAAATTGATAGATTTTATTTCTAACTAACCTACCACGGGATCAATTGAATTACTGTAGGGCTAAATTCCCAAAACAGTCACTATTACCAACAATTCGTAAATGAGGTATTTGCACTACATCACAAATACGGGAAACAACTGTTGCGCCACAACACATTGACTTGAATGATCACGCACTGGACAAAGAAGTTCATGGTAACAATTGATATGATTGTGAACAATATATTGTGTTTGAAAAGTTCATCCAGTAAATAATACCACTTCAGCTCTCTCTCTCTCTGTCACTAACGCATTTGAATATTGCTCATAACAGTTTAGTAACTCTTCAGTTTAATGCACAGCACACTCGGTGACAGTTACATCTGTTGTATGACGCACTTAACCACCACAAAAAATTTCCAAGTGAACATAGAGAAGCGCCAATCACTATCAACAGGAGAAATTTGAAGGTCGCCTGTTTCATTTAATCTAGGCAATATCGTTACAACTACAGATACAACGGATGGAGAAGGTCAAAGGTAACCAAGATCGGATAAAGCTAAGACAGACCTTTATAAATCTGAAATCCGTATGAAAACCTGCTGCAAACTCAGCATAAGGAACAAGAATCGGATTTTGATCAATAATTTCAAGTCAGGGCTGCTTTATGGTACGAACACTTGACGTTTCACCAAAGACATTTCCAGTAGGCTGCAGACTTTCATCAATAGTTATGTTCGGTCTATGCTAAATACCAGATAGCCGGTCAGAAAAGATTAACAACAAGAGACTCTGACAAGCAGCAAAGCGACCAAGAACCAACTGCCGAAGGAAATGGAGACAAAGACATATGCTGGGATCGTTGAGTGAAATCATGCTCTAGGCCAACAATTGGAACGATGAATTGGCTGTCCAAGAGTGACAGGGAGGAAATCGTGTGAGGAGATGAAAACTTATGGCCGACTATGGAGCCAGCTGAAATGGATTACAGCAAAATAGGATGAAATAGACATGAGCTGTTCCACTCGAAAACCAAATGAATAATAAAATATTATTAAGTCAAATATCCAGATTTAGAGCACCTAAAGGGAGCTTTGGAACGGTAACACAGTAATGAAGGGTTCCTGCATTATGCAGCTTATTGGCTGAAGCATTCAACTCCCAGTCGGTGCATCCTAGTTTCCAGCCCTACTCTGCCTATTTTTTGCTACAAACAACTGAGTAGTGCCAACTGAACGTCTTCACACAACTCACGTCTTGTGACCAACTCGATCTTTCACATTCCTTCAAGAAGTGTGCTTCAGTAACGATCAAGTTAAGTAGATTCGTCATTTCAACTTACTGCAAAATTATTCTCATTCTGTCCAAACTATAGAGCTGTAGTCGGAGAATGCAATTATGCACAGTACTTTATAGCACCCTACCACCAATTAGAAACTGTATATTTCTTCTGTCAGGAGAAATTTTTAATGCTAGTATTCATTGTCACTACTACAACCAATTAAGTATGAGGCAGGAAGATCGTTGTACTTAGCTAGCTACCTACTTAAATGGACCAGGTTTCGAATTCATAACTCAAAACTGTATAAATCCAAAGAAAAGATAGTACTTATTGTGATGCTAACTAATACATTATTTCTCCAGTTCCTTTCCCAGATTGGATCATCTTATTGAATATATTCAAGCCTTCTATATACCAGTACACGAATGGGAACACTGGTTGACAAATTGTGGGACTAAGTATTCACGTGCCCAACTCACTGGACTTGCATCATGTTTATCGCGATCTGATAAACGCCAATATCAACGTCTTTTAAACACGATCAATCAAATTTATAATAATAGTAATAATAACAATAATACAACAAATCAAGCAACACATTCATCCTTCTCAAATAATAATTTACTTGCCAATACAGCCAGCTAGTAGTGTAAAACAAATTACATTCACATAAATGTTCCATAAAATGCTTTATTTTTCAAGTGTATATATATATATATTTACGTATACGTATATATCTTATGAGGTGTTTTTGTTTTTCTTATTTGCACATGCTGTAAATACATCCATTCGTTAGTCAGAGAAGAAAAAAAAAGGGAATACCGATCCTAGAAAATAAAGATATACAACATTTGATAATACAAAAAGTGTGTGGAGACACCTCCACACTAGAGAAAGAATTTTGACTGTACACAAGAAATTGAATATCTATCTATCTGTCTATCTAACTATTGAAAAAACAAAATCAACTATTAGATGATGAGGCTTGAAATTTCATCATTTCAGCACGAAATGCGGAAGGATTAGACCAAAGTTGAGCCGCTTGACCATTTAATGGGCTATCGTTGTTAGGCTCTGTAAAATAGTATAGAAAGAAACAAGTATTTTGGTATGTAGGTGTTCACGATGTAATGCACATATTTGAAAAGAAATTGAAACAATAAGTAAATGTCCCAGTACGTAATTGCAGTTACAGTTTAGAACTCTGCCTCTGCTCAGATTGTGTGTAACACACTATATTACGCGAGGTCGCCTTACACTGGAAAATGATCATTAGTTTAATTTAAAAGGTTATGAAAAATATTGAACCTCAGAGACTGACCACAGACATTACTATTATAGAATGACAGTCTTATTTGATATATACCTGACATGTATACAGTCAGCAGGGCATAGTATAGTAAAAAATTCGTAGGGGTCATAAAGACAATGGTATGCTCTGTTGTAATTCCACTAAGAAGCCATCATTACACATATAGGGTGGGAGTCTTAATATAGGCGAGAACCTATCCACCAATGTCTATGCATATGTGCAACTGATTCATTTTCCAACTACTCTGGTTATATCATGCATCCCATCTAAGCAAACAAGATCCCAATACTAACAAAAAGATAGATTAATTGGCGTCCGACCCTGTTACTTCTTATTTATTTTAAATACAAACTTGATAGGCGCTAAGAGAAATTATAAAACAACAATATATAAGAAAGACAAGTAAATAACTTGGGTTAAAATAGAATCAAACAGGCGAGCATTGTCACTAATTACATTCAAAGTAGCCAACCTTATTTCATATTACTGCCAAAAGCACAAGAAACAAGGAAACTGTAAGCTGTTTACTACTGACTTCCATTCTGAGCCGGATCTACTGAAATCTTGAGCCACTGAGTCGCATGATTTGCCGGTCACTCTAGAGAGATGTAACGTATTAACACATACTAACCCAAAAAGTTATCCTTAGTCTTAGCACCACATAATAATGAACTGGTCACCTCTTCGTCTTTTCCAGTTATTCCTAGTGTCAATAAACACTAGGAAGCGTGGGAGAGGCTGAAATGAGAGTTACAGCGCGCACGACGCTAGGGTTATTGAAGGCAATATTCCGAAATAAAATTATCTAGTGGGAAATAACCTCGATTCTGTTCAAATACGTGTCATAGGACCTTAATTACTTACGCGATGTAAGTAAACCTACGATGAAAGCAATGACTAGATACATAGTTGTAGAACGCAGAAAAGCACTGCAAAACCCGACTTTGGACAGACTATCAGGTGATTAAGATTGGTGTATGATGCTTTGGTTTTCCCAGAAAAATTAGGAATTTTATCCACCATAGTCCTACCATTCATATAAGAACTTCTTAACTATTTTTAGCCTTTTACCTGCTAGAGTTAGGGCACAGGTTCCTATAAAATTTGCACTTGAACAGCGCAGAGTACAAGGTATACAGCGGTCGTCAACCTGTGAAGTATAATTTCGGTAGTCCGTATGTTATAAAATAGTAAAACAATACAATCTAAATATTTAAGGCAGAGTTGTTCTTCAATTACGGAACCACACCCCGACACATCCTTTAGAGGTGTCTCTGGAATATCAATCATAAAAGTCGAGCAAGAACGGCGGAAATGAATAACCCCACCACTGATTGAGAAGAATGATGATAAGTGATTGAACGCTGTCACTCTACTTCAGCTTTTTATGAAGAGGGCTTTCAGAATCCTGACATACTTTTTAGGGACGCCGTTCACCATCTAAAAACACGATCCCAAAGAACACTTCTGTCCAACAGTTCAAGATAACTTTGATATTAAAGAACACACTGGCTGCTAGCCTGATATTCTTGAACACATTCCTATTGTGCTTATATCGGACTTTACGACAAGGAATGCATATTTAGCATGTCTCTAGATGGAAAAATAATACATAACATTTAAATGGAACTATACTCTGAGCTTTGCCATTTTTGAGATTAAAATTTTTCCACATCAGGGAAATGATACAGTCTCCAAGCTCTCCCTCATATCCACCTCCAATAGCTATGTTTCACATTCATAAACTAAGATGAAGTGAGTAACATGAAACATATTTTACTCTCATTTGACGATGAGGAATTTCGCTGGTGCCAAGTGAATATACTTGTGCAAAGGTTTCGTTAGTCACAAACCACACAAAACTCTTGCGATTTACCAGCTGTGTTACGGTCAACACGCTCAGTTACTTGACTTCTTAGTATTTAGGAGTACGGGAGACAAGACAATGCTGAAGTGATGATTCAGATTTCAGATGTGAAGAAAGTATCCCGAAATTTTCAAATTGAGACTGAAACACAGAAAACTCGGTATCCTGTCGGGATTCAGTCGTTTGCACAGTCCACCTTGATTATAGAAACACCTCCAAAGAGGATGATTCTTGTGATATCAAACAAAAAGAAACAGTCAAACACCTATATGACTCAGCTGGATACAAAAACACTACGGAAGCATCCTTGACAAACACCGCTTGACATAAACATAAAAGAAGAGACTACTAAAACCGTAACTACTTAGCCTTATCTAGAATACAAGTAGTTCAAATCGCAAGATTGGAATCTGAGCTTCAAATATTGTAATCTAAACCTATTTGTGAATAGAGACGGGCTTCAATGATAACTTGTACGGAAGCCCAGTAACTTATACCCACAAAACCTTCCCTCTTGCTTTGTGTGGCATCTTGAACTGGTGGACATCTGTGCAAAGTTCTACGTTGAAACCAGACCACAACAACACAAAACTGAAACAGACCTAATAGATTACTATTATGGTAACAGTCGATACAACATACGCAACCAAATAAAAAGTAATGGAAAAGTAGACAGAAATTGTGCCCAAAATTAAAGGATGCTGGAAAAAACAAAGGAGTATGGTATTATAACTAACATGAAGAGATATTATTGCAACTGCAATTGTCTGTCTAATCATACTCATCCGTGGTCAGATGGATCATATCCAGGAAACTAACACATCCTTTTAGAGCTGAACAGTGTCCTGATAATAACCTAGCGTATAAAAGTGGAATGGAACATAAAATCGTCTTCAATGATTCACCATTAAGTGTTTATATCACTGTCTCAGATGAATAACAGGTTATGAAGAAAGCACATTATAGACTTTGAATTAAGAATGATAACTTTAAAACAAGACTATAAGCGAACATTACTGTTTTCAATTAGATCTCCTTTAATCTTTACACTAACGTACACAACTTCATACATAAAAACTTAACCAATGACGATGAGTTTACGGACCGAAAATTGCACGTGGCAAATGTTTTGAACCTCAGTAGTAACGATTATAATGACAACGAAAATAATAACAATTAGGTCAACAACAAAAGTACAAGTAGTGTGTGCAGGTGGCAATAAGAATAAAGAAGTTAGTATGTTTATGTAAACAATTCAATAAATAAATTAGGTTAAGTCTTGTAAGTTACGTAATAGTAGAGGTGAAGTGGATAGATAATCAGTTCAAATACGTATCACAGAAGTACAAAAGAAAGGGTGGGAGGTTTTTAATTGGAATCTACCTGTGCCAGGAGAGAGAGACAAAGGTAGACCAAACTTCTTCTGTATGCAAAGATTAGGATTATTCTCTCGAGTTTCCATAGCTTTGGCTGTGCAAGACACGGATTCGAATTCCGTTCGAAAGGTTTGATGGAATGCAGTTTATAACCTTGAAGACACTTCTTCTAACCACTAGGTGACCGCCATCAACCAAACGAGACAAAATAGAACTTCTAATGGATTTTATTCGGCTTTTTCCGAAACATGAAGGAAGAAGCCTAATAGTACGTTTGTTGAGCTGTCCAGCTGTTCGCTCTATATAGCTTTCTCTACGGGAGCAGCCACGCTTGTAAGTGCATATGGAAGTAGCACAAGTAGGCAGCTTATCTTTCGCTTGTGGTGGGGTCTTACAAAAGTACTAATTTAACAACAGTGTCTCGTTAGGCAAGCATATGAAACGTATTAGGCTGAAACACTAACCTGCTAGTAAGCTTCGTATAGATAAAAGCAGATTTTCTACAGTTAGCAAAGGAGACCACATTTCTTTTAAAATATCTAAGCATATTACTCCACGGGTATCCACATTTGGATGGTAGCATTTAGAAACAAAGCGCACATTTGGAGGACTGTAAGGATAATTCGGTCCGAACTCAAGTGAAAGTTTGTATTGCTGGCCTTCATACACCTATAGTGAAGAGATGAAAATTAAAATGACAATACAGTTTAGAAGGGAAACAGTAGTTACTGAAACTGAAGGAAACTGCTGCTTGAAATCTTACACTAAAAAGCAAATAGATACTTACCGTTCCATCAGGTCCACGGATAGAAGCTAACCAACGGGTGAGATTTTCGCCATCTGGGAATGCTGTAACACCCTTGTCATTGGACATCTGTAATGATTAAGTGAAGGTAAACATAATTCAGCCATCAAGTGTATTTCAGGAATCATTACAAATCTTAATCACTTGAAAAATGTTGTAACCCCACGTGATACTTGTGTGAGCACATTCTGCGGTAAATGAGCATTTCGCTTAAGATTATGGCTAACCCGAACCAATTAGATGAACTCAACTCTCAATGTAGAACTTAACTCAGAAACGCAGTAATTCAAGCCGCCAAAAACTCCATGTATGTAAAGAGGAAAATTCAAAAGGTCTATAACAAAGGGAAACGCACGCACGAAAGAGTTTTCATGTAGGACTCTAGTACGACCCGTACTTTCTTGGTACTGTATCAATAGTGTTCCTGCAGACAACTGCATTTACTCTCTTTTGTCTAGTTCTGACTGAAAACAGACAAGAAGGTTCCTCACAACTTTATCTGTCCAAGGACTAATTAACCTTTACTAACAAACGGGTTCAGATCATTAAGCACTTTACCAGTTCTTTTATTGCCTGTTTATCGCAATTTCTATGACGGGGGGGACTCAGTAACATTTGCAAATAAGCAAAATAGATTTATTCACCTACCAAATAAGTACACTAATCATACAACTGCTTACTTGGTGCACACTATGGTAATGATACAGGTAAGCAAGGACCAATGAACTCCTAGTACCGAAACACGCTACAGAGACCATAATTACTCTCTAACAACAACTCATAGTAATGTGATTTGCATCTTTCGTTTGAGGTCTTCAAGAAATAAATGACGTACACAGCAAACACGAGGGGCAAAACCACTACGCTTTTACGTTTACTGTGCGAACTCTTCAGTGTGAGTACTTTAATCTCACTATCATCATTTTCCGATAGACCTAAATGACGACACTAAGCGAAAAAGAAGCGGGGTCACAGGATATATCGAGAGAGAGACAGAGAGAGGACAGTATCATCCTGGTAATTCTTAGAAATGACCGAAAGATTGATCATTGTCATTAAAAGATTCGTCCCTCGGGAAGAACAGGGACTTGCGCAGTAAATTGAATCACACTATATGAGATCTAATAAAGCTCCCTGACTGTTAGATATGAATATGTATGTAGTCGTCTAAACTGCTTTGAACAAATGACATAGTACTGCGTGATGTTACATCGAGCTAAAACAACTAATTTAATAACTCAACCATCAGTGTGCGATTCAACGGAAGCAAGTGGTAGATAAATGTAGGCTTTGGTCAAAAGTGTGGATTTCTTTTTGCAACGAACGAAAAGAACACACAATAATATTCACGAGGGACTTAGCTGTGTTTTTCACTGTACTGTATAACCTGTGTCTTGAGTAGCTGTTTTAACATTATGATTAGTCGCACAGCTTGATGAAAATACGATAACTGACACACCACAAATTGTCACGTCATATAAACTTACCAACAACTCCATCAATTCCTTCTGCAACCTAAATTTACGATAAATTATTAGTAACATAAAGACGTAACAACCTCTTGCTCACACTGTCTCCGTTCATTTTTCAAATGATCCTGAGGCGGAAAACCTCAAGGTTAACGGTAGTCATAGTTGTTAACCTGAAATTGTACTAGTTTAAAGATTGTAAACATACCACTCCTTCATATATGCTTCATTAGTTTTTAGTGTGTGACTTAAAATTCAGTATAAAATATTCACAAGTAAGAAGTTGAAAGGGAAAAGCTCTGTCAATTTACGCTGACTAAGAAAATGAATGCATCATTCCTTCGGTTTCCCTTTAATCCTGTTGTAAAATGTGCACAAAAAGCATTAACATCAGCGATTTTTCATAGCTATGGCACTGATACATTGATTCCATTCACAATTCCTTGATTTCCTAATAAACTGTAACAGCTGAGAAACGTCTATATATAATCACGTGACTGTAAGTTATAAGTTTGAGCTTTTATGCCAAAAAGTGGTATCTTTTCGCGAAACTCGTAGTCCTGTCTTTAGCTTCGTAAATACAAGTGTCCAATATTATCAGCTACCAAAATTCTAAAAAATGAAAATCTTAGTGCATATTGTGGATATCGCAAATATGATTCCGCGTAGATTGTTTCAAAGGTTCACAGTGGCGTTCTCTGTCATTGGAACACCTCGCTTATTCCTTGCTTGAACCAAATTCTTGTTCTACCATTTACACTTTCTCCAGAATGCAAAAATTTGTCCACAATCCTAACACGAGAAATTACACGTGTTTGTTCCGGCATCACGTTCTTATCCCTGGTAGCAGCTCACCTGTCTTAGTAAAAGCTGATGGTCTATTTTACAAATAGGCACACTAATATATGTATATCATACATTCATAAATAGAAATACTTTTCCTGGCTTTAGTAAAAGGCAACGATAAGATCCAGGAACCCCCAACAGACAAACCCCATCAACACGTACATCATTTGGTTCTTAGGATAATGTCACTGAAACTCCTGTCAGGTGTACCTAGCCTTCGTGGTGGCCGGAAAATATCAAATTATACGCTCACCATAAAATAGTAATTATAAGGAATTCACAGAAAATCATGGTTGTTACATGAGACTGGATAAGGACACGACCTGGTTCCGCGCGCAATACGGACGAAGCTTCTTCCTTCTCCAACTTCTTGCTTTTCACATCTGCCAAACAACTCTGCCTCGTACCTAATGAACAAATCCACATTAGGATAATTTGCTCTAATCTAATTTTCTCAACGCAAATGCCTTCCTACAGTTGGCATCGCCTACGTGCAGTTGAGGATCTGTATACTAAAGAAAAGTACAATCTCATTCCCACAATTTGGAGGTCTGTATTCGAATATTTTAGGACTATTTTAACTGATTAAAAATGCTCATTAGAATTTTCAAAAGAAAGGATACTGAACAAAGAGTACTCTTTTCGATAAATTTGTCATCAGGCTCTACAATTATATATATATTATAATCAATGAATGAATTAGTGTTATGAACAACATTAATGTTTAAATAACATCGAATCAATAATACTGATAGATTACAGCTGAATAGCATCAACATAAAATAAGCTGAATGTCAGAAGAAATAGGAAAGTTAATGAGTTTATAGTTTCTACTGAGGGCTAGGGCAATAGTAGGGGCTGGACTTGTTTCTTTTGAACACAGAGCACTGGTGGTTTGAGGCGAACTGCAATAGCCTCTGCTGTTTGGAGCATACGGTGCTTCGACGATTTCAGTAGTTTGTTAGGCACCCGGTATATTATAGAGAAGGATTCTTCAACGCTGGCTTTGTGGCCGGTTTGCACCAGATGGTCCAATATCAAGCTGTTAATAGTTTTAACTACACCTTTACTTAGCCATAGTGGGATATGTTCTCGAGCACGAAAAATCAAGTTCCCACAGCAACGGCCAATATAACTCGCTCCAAAAGAGCAGTTGAATTGGTAGATACAATTTGAAGTGGCTAGCTAGTCTAGGTACTTCATCTTTCAGTCGAGGAAGCACCATCGGTCGTGTAAAGAATAATACGTGTATTTCGCCAGCATTATAAGTTCTTTGAACTGATTTTCTTAATTTCTTCGTAATTATCTCGCTTGGCATATCGCCCATGAATTGTTGTCGTATATATAGAGGCTTTTTGTTTGCAGGCAGTGAGTAGTCCTTTTCCGCTTTCTTTGTCATGTGTTCCTTGATAAATTTGTCGGGATAGCTATTTTCGATCAAAGTATCATATACAATGCTTAATTCATCGTCAATTACTTCCTCTGAGCATATAACTCTTCTAACTCTGTGGCTGAGGGTCTTCGCTAAATTTCTTTTTTACTTGATAGGAACGAAGCTGTGAAAATGTGTATATTGTCCTGTCCAAGTCCTTTTTCTATGCAAATTTCTTTTTATGCTACCATCTGGTTTTCTTGTAAGTAAGACATCCAGGAAGGCAATTCTGTCTTGGGATTCCTCTTCGCATGTGAATTTCACAGCTGAATGTGCTTCATTGAATTCAGTAATTATTGTACTCCTATCAGAACCATTATCACAAAGAATGAAGGTATCATCCATATATCGGCGATAAAATGAGAGCTCACTGATAAGGTTGTTCAGAGGTTCATTTTCTAGCTTACTTGGAAAGAAATCAGCCAGAATGGGACCCAATGGGGAGCCCATTGCCACCCCGTCCACTTGCCTGTAAAGTGTGCCGTCAAATTTGAAGTTTACATTCATGGTACGTCTTAATATCAATTCTTTTGGGATTTCAATATGAATTCCAATGTTTATCAACTGCTTGTCCACTTGTTCACATATATAATTAACTGTTTCTATTAGAGGTACATTTGTGAATAACGATGTTATGTCCAGAGATATCATGGTTTTGTCCTTGATATTAATATCTTTTATTTTATCTTCGAATTCAAATACATCTGACGCTATATTTCACTAACTTCTCATGCAACGATTTGGGAATATACACTAACCATCTAGCTAGAGCATGGTGAGGCGAATTTTGCATATCAAGTATTAGTCTTAACGGCACCCCTGGTTTATGCACTTTAGGTAGACCATAAAATCTTGGTGTATACGTGCCCGTTGGTCTGATTTCTTCATATAAACTTTGAGAAATTATCTGCTCCTCCCTTACTTTCTTCAAACGTCTCTTTGGTTATTGACCCTATTTCAACTGTTCAAATAACTGCATTTTGTGTGTATATTAACTTACGTAGGCTGAATAATCTTCTATAAACATACATGTTAGTATTTGTTCTGTCCTTTTTATTTCGCGCACAAACGTACTTAGCCGTTTGGTTCACTACACCTTTCTCCGGAGCATGTGAGCATTCCAATTACTTCGACTCTTGATGGTTCCAGTATGTTGTTTAGATACTTCGTATTATTTTTTCGGTCTGCTGGTGGGTGTTCCTGCTGTATACAAAGTCAGGTAAACCACATCTCAGTTTAATTTCTTTTTCGGGTAGTCAGCTAATTTCGCCAATGATGTGTCGGGTGCCATATCACTAAAAACTTGGTTAAAAATACTTCCACATATAGTGATTGCAAGCTTCACCATCTATTCAGATGATTACTCAGAGTCTCTAATAGCTACCATAATCGCCTAAGATACACTTGTCCTGCATTTTTGTTCTTATCTGGACAGTCTTAATTATGAATGTCCGACATCACAGTCCGTGTACACATTACTATGCCTGTTATTATGCTTTCGGATAGAATAGCTTGTGTGTGATTTCCACCACTACTAACCTTCAACATTCTTCAACAAAGTATCGTGCGTGATCAGTGCGTTTATCAACACTTAAACTAACCTGGTGGTGTTAACCACAAAAGAAGAATAATTCAAGACGTTAACTTACCGTCCGAATGGACGCCTTGAATAAAATACTTCTATTTTGATTTCGATAAAACGACAGGCTTTAACTTATTGTCGCTCTCAGTTCAGTAGGATCCTCAGATGAGGCTAGGGTAGTCTACAAAGATCTACCAGAAAGCAGATGTTGGACTCGCAGCAGATCCATCTTCAGACATCTGCAAGCTTGGGCTGTCCAACGACAGTAGTTTTGGGGCGACATGGAGGGGACCAACTTCACTCAGTACATAACGGCCAAGTGGCACTAGAGGAGAGAGTGAAGTTGCTTCTCACTATTCAATTATCCCTTATTCTACACTGGGGAAAGAAGATTTCTGCTTAACATCAGCCTTTAGAAATATCAGTTTCTCAATAAGTGCTGTTCTCACTTCTAGAAAAGAGGTGAAATTAAACACAGGTATCATCTATAAGTTCACTGATTGGTAGAAGTGAAGTTATTTTCTTTTGCCATGGTTTGAATGCTGTCAGAATATTAGCCTGACAAAATGGATCCAAAAAATATGAGTGAATGACCCAGATTATTGATCACGATAGACACTATGTCAACCCCCAATCAATATAACCATATCTTGTCTGCCTTGACTGTCATTTGACTACTCGCTGTCTTATTGTCAACTCCCGCCATCAGAAGTTGGCGTTGTATGGCTGTTGTATTCTACCCTTTCTATGTATGCAAGTGTGACGCTGATCATTTTATTCTACACCATAATACTATTCGGTATGTTTGTGTCTCTTTAAATGGCAGTTTTCATTGTATTATCGTTTTCGTGTAACTGTACCATTTTTGTATTTCAGAAACAGATAACGTCTATATTAAGTCACCTTTTGTTTTATTTGTGGTAAAGCCTAGTCTCTGTGCTGTCGGTATCGGTGGTCAGAACTAAGATCCACAGGCAAATTTAATCATACACATAAAACGCACTTGACGTCACAAAAGAATCCTTTTCAATGTCGTTTTGCAGCATCTAGCAGGCATTCAGATACCTCTTTAAAAATGAGGACTAATTCCATGGCATGGGATGACCTTCGTTGGCACAGTGCTATATATGTATTGATTCAATGATCGTACATAGGATTTCCAATATCGAACATAGTCACTACGAGCTGCTGTAAACAAATTTGATTTCTTTGTGCTCGCTTCCTGATTGTGAGGTAAAGTCTCCTGCTTTTTGGTAAACTTCTTCGTAGTTCGTCCTACCACTCGACCGTCGTAGCTTTGGTTGGCTCCAAAAG